TTTTATGTGAATGTTCCTGTAAAGTCCCTGAGACAACTTTGTTGTGAACTGGTGCTTTATAAATAAACTGAACTGAATTGAAATCCATCCTGCTGCACCGTTATCTTCTACCACGTTGTTTCTTAATGTGTCTCTTTAGGACATTGTAAATATTTTATTACTTTTTCACTTTTTGTTACTTTTTGTGTGTACACTTACTGCATGCTTTTTTGTATTTTCTTGTTGGTTTGCTCTTTGATTTTTTTTTTTTAGCGAGTCAAATCAGTTCCTCTCTTCCTGAGCATTTCATGGTACTGTTAACTCTGTGTTAACCTGCATGTGACAAATAAACACAACTTAACAACTGTTTCAGACGAGAGTACTGATATCACCATACCCAAAGCTAATTTTATTGCGTTGTCTTCACCACAAGTACGGAGGTTTATTCCCCGCACCTGGAAGTCAGATAAACCTCCACGATTCTCTGAATGGGTTCAGGAGCTGCGCTCCCTAATTCCACTAGAACAACTTGTTTCTAATGGGAACAAATCCTGCCAGAAGTTTAATGAGACCCGGGGCCCCTTTAGTGAGTGTGTTCTTACACTCTCCTTTACTTAGTCATAATAAAATTGCTCTCGGGGTGTAACCTACTTGTTATTCAACAGGAGTACAGGTCGGATATTTTTAATTTAAGCCTGTTTTTCTGCCACAGCATGCAAAGTGTCACTGAACACTATACTTAATGTTTGCTACTGTAACGATTACACCCTACTGGCAGTAATTATGTGTATTATCATCATCATTATTTTTTTTTATTAGTAGTAGTATTACTAGTATTATTTTTATTATTGTCCCTTTTTAATTTCCTGGGAGACAAGTGTTGTTTCAGGGAGGGATTTATGTTTTTGTAACTCATGTATAATGCTCAAAAAATACATAAATAAAGTGTTTAAAAAAAAAGAATGTACACACATTTTTTTTAACAAGTGAAAATAAAATGGTAAATAAAATTAATTAAAAGAAAAAGAAGCAAAAAAACAGCTAGATTGTAAACTGGATTTGCTGGTTAAATGAAGTTAATCAATAAGGCAACTAATTCTCAAAGGAGGAAAAAGATGAAAACACAACTGTGTCATCGACATAGCAAGTGCAGTTAGGCTGAATATCTTTTAAAATCAGTTGTACAAATAGTCTAGTACTGTCTGTCTCATCAGAGTCCTATCTGTTGGTACTTTTTAAGCCTCTCCCCCCACATGACTGGAATCAAAGTGAACAATCCTGAGTTAGTCCAACAACAGTTTCTGATGTTCTGGGTCAAACACGGTGCTGGAATCTGTCCAAGGCACCAGTCACACCATTAGTCCAGCCACAGCAGCAGTTCTGGTATTGTCACCACTCCTGTGAGTTTACAGCTTCACCTGAAAACCTTTATTATTCTTGAAAACTTTATTTTCTCCTTTTGATTTACTTCCCCCAACCTCCCCTCTGTGTTCTGATGGGCCTACCTTCACAACTGCTGTGTCCCTCCTCATAGCCGGCGCTGCAGCTGCACTTCCCGATGGGCACCAGCCACTCTCCTTCAGCGCTGCAGTGCATCCTGGGAGGGACGTCCGTTTCCACCTCTGAGTTGTTGACGCAGGTGCCACGGACTTCCACCAGTGTGGCGAAGGCGGCCTCAGCCACTGTGTCTGGGAACACCGCCAGGTTCTGCACGGTTGTGAGGCAGCGTTTGTAGTAAACCCGGACAGCCACCAAAGCCACACAGGCACCAACGTCCTGAAAGGCCAGGTGGAAGCCCTTCTTGTTCAAATGACCAATCTCACGCACCTCCGTGTTCAGCTTCATCTTCCTCTCCCCAAGGTCGCCCTGCGTGAAGCTCTCATCTGCAGCAATGGTATCAATCTTGGTGTAGCGGTCCTCCTGGGTCACACCGCCCAGATCCCGATCAGACTCCACATATAAAAGGTTAAAGGTCTCCTTACAGGTCCCGGCCACTCCTGGGATGCTGTTGCAGTCCCGCAATGTGAACTGCAGCTCCACAAAGATGCGCTGCCCATTGCGGCGTGCCACCCAGCTCGTCTGCAGCCAGTTGTTCTGCTGCAAGGGCTCCATCACGTTACACACCTGGTAGGTCCGAATGGGCTTATACTTCTCATCCACGCCGCTGATCTCCTCCCACTAAGAGGGGAGGCAGGGAGGGAGGGGGGTCAAGGGAGGTCAGAACACAGGAAGAATGTTTAAAACCAGTTTTACAAAGAAAAGAACAAAACATGAGTTTATCTGAAGAATGGGTCTGTGATCCTAGAAATCTGTCAGATCATCATCATCATCATCATTCTCCATCTTAATAATTCTTAATATCATAATTATGTCGGAGTTAAAGTTATTTATGTTTTTAATGAATAGCGTGTTTTCAGTTAGCAGCAGTCTGCAGAAAACTTAAAAGATGAAGATAAATGTGTTTGTAGCATTTTTCAAAATTGAGGAAAAGCCACAAAGGTCACTGAAATAACCGCAAACTGAAAAAAGTAAAATAAATAAATACATAAATAAACAACTGATGAAAATCAGTCATTTTTTAATTATGGTTCAACAGAATTACTTTAACAAAAACATGAAACTGTCCTTGATCAAAAAGGGATGGTACTCCCGGAAAAGACTGAAACTCATTTGTCCTTAGGGACAGTGTAACTCGCTTTATGTTGGGGTCAGTCAGGCTTCACTCTCACGTCTCCAGCTCGTACAAAATGCTGCAGCTCAGCTACTAACAGGAACTCACAGGTTTGAGCACATTACTCCGGTTCTGTCCTCTCTTCACTGGCTTCCTGTACGTGTCAGAGTTGATTTTAAAATTCTCCTGCTGACATTCAAGTGCATTAACGGCCTCGCACCATCATACCTCTCCGACCTTCTTCATCCTTATGCTCCTTCTCGGGCCTTGAGATCATCAGACCAGCTGCTTTTGGCCGTACCAAAAACCAGCTGAAGCTCAGAGGAGATCGGGCGTTTTCAGTCGTGGGTCCTAAACTCTGGAACAACCTGCCCATCAACATTCGACAGGCCACCTCAGTCTCTGCTTTTAAATCTCTCCTAAAAACACATCTGTACTCACTGACACATCTGTACTCACTGACACATCTGTACTCACTGACACATCTGTACTCACTGACACATCTGTACTCACTGACA